GTGGGGTGGGCTGGAGGAGCAGCCGGTGGCAGTGTGGGGACCCTGAGCCTTAGCTGCATCTGGCCCCCCCTTGCCCCATTTCCCCCTGCAAAACCATCTGGGGTGGGAGAGGGGGCACCCGGGGTCAGCTGAGCATGAACTGCTTGTGTGGCTTTCCTGAGCCCATCTGGGAGGAGACCCTTCTTTGAAACCTCCCCCCTGGGCAAGTCCCCGCTGAGAAACCGAGGACAGTGGCACTGGTCCCTCCCTCCAAACCCACACCCACGGCTCCAGCATTCTGCCCGGGGCCTTCAGCTTTTAAAAATATTCCTCATTTACCAGCATGAGAGAGGGACAGTGAGCAGTCCCTTAACATTTGGTCTCAGACCTCAGATAATAAACTTTCTTTGAAACCTCAGAATTACCTCTAAGCACCTGTTCTGCCTCCCTCCTATCCTGTCCCAAAAGCCTCCCCCCCTTGCCATCCTCACAGGGTCCTGAGTCAGGGCAGGCAGGGAGCTTTCTGCAGTTTCTGTGTCCTTTGTAGAACAGCATTGCTCGTAGGAGTCAGCAAACACTGGGGACTGATGGGCTAGGCCAAGCCAGGGACCTGCTCCTAGCTTCCAGGACCTGCTCCTAGTCCCCAGACCTTCTCTTAGCTGGGAACTATGATGTTTCTAGGCCCCAGGACCTGCTTTTAGCTTCTAGGACTTGTCTCTAGCCCTCAGGACCTGCTCCTAACCCCCAGGGCATGTTCCTAACCCCCAGGACCTGTTCCTAGCCCCCAGGACCTGCTCTTAGCCCCCAGGACCTGCTCCTAGCCCCCAGGGCATGTTCCTACCCCAGGGCATGTTCCTAGGCCCCAGAACCTGCTCCTAGGCCCCTGGACCTGTGGAGGAGCAGCTTGGGCCGACCACTAGTTACCTGGAAGTGGAAGATCCCTGCATAGTTTTCCTGGAAGCTCTGGTCAAAGGGGACAACTCGAGCCAGGATTTCTTCATTCAGGGTGAGGGAGGCGATGGCTGCCAACAGCCAGCAGTCACCTGTGAACACAGCACAGGAAGCTTTCGTCAGAGGGGTCTCGGGGCTGGGGGATGTTAAACATCTTGTCCCGCCTCTGCTGGCCGAAGCCTAGGCCGAGCATGACTGAGTGACAGGCCT